GAGAGAGAGAGAGAGAGAGAGAGAGAGAGAGAGAGAGAGAGAGAGAGAGAGAGAGAGAGAGAGAAGAGAGAGAGAGAGAAGAGAGAGAGAAGAGAGAGAGAGAGAGAGAGAGAGAGAGAGACAGAGAGACAGATATATATAGACAGTGACAGACAGAGACAAAACAAAACAATCAAAACCAAAATACCAACCAGAGAAAAAAAAAAAAAAACATACCCACACCCACACACCATCCACCAAAAAGGACGATACACCCCACCCACCCCCACCCACCCACCACCCCCCACCCCACCCCTCCCTTCCTATTACCTTTCCCATCACCGCGCAAACCAACCTCGCTGATGGTCGCGCGAAGCCAGCAACTCTTGATTTGACGTTAATCTGGCGGATACGATATCTGTATGAACGACGCCCGCCCAGGCCCAGACATTACAGCCTTTGTTGATGATACAATGTTAATATTGCCTCGGTCATTAACAGGATATCTCATCTGTGGCGGGCGCTGCTCATAGAATGGGGGGGGGGGCGGCGAGGGGGGGCGAGGGGGGGGGAAACGGTGACGCATTATGATTTTGGTTGTTGCTATAATTGGTGTCATTATTGTCTTTCTTATTGTCGTTATTATCAGTATTGTTATTATCGTATTTATTATCAGCATTAGCAGTGTTATCATCGTCATCATCTTTATAATCATCATAATCATCATTATTATAATTACTATTATTACTATTATTATTATCATTATTGTTATCATTCATTATCATTATTTTTATCATTATCATTAGTATCTTCTATACCATCATCATAACTTTACTCATCATCTATATGATATTCACCATTATTACCGACATCATTATAATCATTTTCATCATTTTAACTATTACAACCATCATGATCATAGTTACTATCTTAATGACAATCATTATAATGAACTATTTCCGCCTATATCCATCCCCCTCCTCATCCACCACTCCCCCCTCCCCTCCCCCCACAATTCCCGAATCCAAGCACAGTTTTCCTTCGTTGCTTGTTCCCGTTTTTCCTCATCACACAACAAATTATTCCTCCACTTATATGTGGGGACCAATTAAGCGAATTATAACTACCCTTCTGTTAGCATACTTAACGACGTCTATTAAAAATGGGCCCAATTACCATTTTGCACAGCAGACGTATAATCATCACAGTCTACAATATCCACGTTGTTAGATTAATTAGACCTTAATGATGCTCATCAAATGGGTATAATTTACTTGCTTCTAAGCGTCACCTTTCAGCTGCAGACTCAGCGGCGCGCAAGAAAAGGCTGGGTGTTTGCAGTTTGCGAGGCAGCAGGGGATAAAAAGGCCACATTGTGTACATCTCCATCACTTTGTTGTGGCCATTTATAACGAAAGAAAAGAGGAGAAAAATATCCAAATCAAATTTTAATCGCAATTAGATACAATCGGACATTAATTGGGTTCATCCTTTTATAGAACAAAGTACCTCTTGCATCTCCTCTGCATCTCAGATGCGGGGGATGGAGATGCAAAAAAAAAGAGAAAAAGGCTGTCCGGGGGGCTTCATTATACATACATGTACATATATATATATATATATATATATATATATATATATATATATATATATATATATATATATATATATATATATATATATATATGTCTATATACATATATGTATGTATGTATGTATGTATGTAATGGATATATGCGAATGTATATGTTATATATATATATATATATATATATAATATATATATATATATATATATATATATATATCTTATGGCATTTGGTTCATTCAAGACTGGAACTCGCCGTGGCCCCAAAGCAGACCTGGAAGTACAGTTACGTAGATTGTCTTTGTCAAGAACGAACATGACTTCAGGTGACTGGGAGCAAAAAGGACTCTGCAATCAAGTGAAAGGAGGGCAGCTATTGTTGACGTAACATTTTACTTTGATATCTATCACACGAACATATATGGAATACACACATAGATGCAATACACACAAACACATACACATACATGCACACATATATTTATATGCATATATGTGTACATGTATCAAAGAGAGAGAGAAAGAAGGAGGGAGGGAGGGAGAGGGAGAGGGAGAGGGAGAGGGAGAGGGAGGGAGGAGAGGGAGAGGGAGAGGGAGAGGGAGAGAGGAGAGAGAGAAGAGAGAGAGAGAGAGAGAGAGAGAGAGAGAGAGAGAGAGAGAGAGAGAGAGAGAGAGAGAGAGAGAGAGAGAGAGAGAGAGAGAATCTCTGATACCTCATATAACCTTGCTTCTCTTTGCACCTCAGTCAAGGAAACGCCCAAGAACACGCCTAACACCCCCACCCCCAATAAAAACAATCACCAATCCATCCTCCCAACTCGGTCGAATCTCGGGCGGGCGCGTGGGCGTGAACCGTCCAGCGCGGAGAGAAAGCGACCACCGTCCACCCACCCGAGCGCCCCGCGAGGCCGAAGAACGAGGCAACGAAATCAATGGCTCGCGTCCCATAACAGGATCGCACAACGGAGCTCAAACGCTGGCACTGCTCATTAAAAGTCTATTCGCGGGGCAATGGAACAAGGTCGT